ATTTGATAAACAAAACATTCTCCGCCCCAATAAGGGCATAGTCCTTATCTTTCTTGAAGTTAGCCTAACTTTATTTAGTAGTATACCTCAGCAGGATCTATAACAGCAGTCTTGGTGACTGGGCAGCTGTACTCTCCAACTGTTTTTACTTTGACATTGTGGACTTGGCCTTCTGTCCCAGGATACACCTTGATTACTCTGCCGATAGTCCATTTACTGCAAATAGCATTGTTTTCCGCCATGACTACAATTTCATCAACTTCTACATTTTGCCTTTCTGTGTGCCATGCCTTCCTTGTCACTAGTGCTGGTAGTATGTCTCTGCTCCAACATTTCCAGAAAGAGTCCACAATCTTCTGCACAAATTCTACACTGTGTCGCAGGGTTTTCATGTGATGGAATGGGCCTTGAGGAACTTCTGGTGCTGCTCCTACAAGAAGCATGTCTTTCAAGCAGAAATATTTCCCATTGTTCACATCATTTGGAATGTGGCCAATGGGGTGTTGATTTACAAGATTTCCGACTTCTACAGTGCTCGAAATTAGGAAAAAATCCAAGTTGCCCTTAAGGAAAATGCCAGACAACCAAGCCCCTGACTTTGGTTGCCCTTAACATTTTCTAAGCTTCAATAAATGTGAAGACTGTTTAGTGTCACAAATTCATAATACTTGTTTCAGTTGTTTGACAGGGTTAGATCAGTTTACTTCACTAATAGCTTTAAATTTCTTTTTTACATGTACATCATTGTTAAAACACTTGCTGTAGAGACCCATTGTCTCTACTTCATGATCAAGGACAACTGAATACTTTGATATGCATTGAACTGTATTATTATTCCATGTAAATTTGCAAACAAACTTCCATCACACCAAGCGAATGAACAGAAACGAACAAATAAACTAACTAACCTATGATTAAGCAATGAACAATTCACTGAAATAAATACAATACACTAAAGTTAGGAAATAATATGGCAAACAAAGAAACTAGCAAACAAAATTGACAGATATATGATGTAGTTACAAGTTTTTCGTGCCTAGATCATGGAAAAACCGAATAAGCTCGAAAACGCAAATTACAAAACATGCCTTGTGCTTTTATCAAACTCAACATCTCAAAATGCAGAAAACAGTCAATGAGGCCAGTGGCTCACTGTATTTAAGCTGTTGTAAAGTGTTCTACCTGAAGCCAACACTTGTGGTACATGCTGTTCAAAGCAAGGCCATTTAATTTGTCTTTGATTGTAAGATAATGAAAACTGTAACATAGTTATAACAGTTAACTCACAGCAAACTTCCGTTAAACGCTTAATAAGTAATGTTTACTTAATAATTCACATTTACTTAATAATTCATCAGCCTCTTAAGGATAGTTTCTTCATCATCATCACTCTCAGACTCCAGCCCACTGTCACTGTCATCCACTTGGTTCTGCCATTGGAAAATCCAAAAGAGGAGGATGACACTGTGATTTTCCGTCATTGTTTAAGAATGGTCTTCTTCCCCTCGTGGACTGCTTGTTCCAACAATGTATGGCCTCCATAGGGTCATAACTTTCAATGGGTGCTGACTCAAGCTGAATCACCATAAAATCGCAAAGCGAACTCTCCTTAAGACTGTTTCGAATGTCAGTTTTGATGTTTTTTATAAGGCTAAATCCTCTCTCGCACTCTGCGCTGGATGAGGGAGGCACAAGAGGAGGTCAACAACTGCCAGGATGTTTCCTTAATGTGATTTCCACCTACGATTTATCTCTGGTCATGCAAGATTCTTCACTTCTTCTGGTTCACTATACAGGTTATTCTTCAGCAGTGTCCACTCCAACTCCACCGAGTTTACAGCAACTCCTGCTCTCAGCAAAGATCCCTCATAGTGTTTCACAACATAGGTGACTTCCTTGTCACCAAATTTGTCCTTCTTGTCTTTTGATGGCCACAAAGCATGATCCACAATGGTGGTAGCTTTGATCACCCCAGTATCAGTGTTGGAGAACCTTTTCTTCAAGTTGTCTTCAAGACTTGTAAGAAGATTTGATTTAGAACTTGTGAACTGTACTATGCTGCCTGTGGCTTCTTGACAGAGGGCACCAGACTTAACCTTCACCAGGTATGGCCCATCTTTAGTCTTGTACTTGTTCAGCACTGAAAGGACATTGGTCAAAGTTCAGTGAATATCAGCGGCAGTTCCATCCTTCCTTTGAAATACCTGGGACATCACACCGAGAGCAGACACAACATCATGCAACAGCGCAGCAAACTGCATTATATCCCTCTTAGTGAGAAACTTAAGAAAGCATTGCACCTTGCATTTGGCAGTTGCAAACACTTTCAAGCTATTTACAAGCTGTTGCAAGTGTAGCAATAGTGCCTCAGCCCCTGAAAAGGGTTGTTAGGGCTCTCTGAATATGGGCCACCCACTGCGTCCCATCAACCCGAGATGGTATGATGACTTTCTTGCCCAGGGCCTTAAAGCTACTTCACAGATTATTGCAGTTAAGTGGGCTGTTGTGATAGAAATAGTAAGGGCCTTAAAGCTACTTTGCAGATTACTGCAGTTAAGTGGGCTGTTGTGATAGAAATAGTAAAGGCCTATTAGGAGCGTGACCACCTTTTCTCCAAGTGCAACCTTGGTAAGTGACTCTTTATACGCTAGTTCAAGTCTCTGACCAAAACAATGAATGCTAACAATGCAAGCGTTCGTTTCCTTCAATAAAGCTGCAACACCCTTTGGTACACCCGTCATAACAGATGC